TTTAATTGTTTACTGGTCTCCATTGTTTCTAATTAGAAGTTATTGTTATTCCCTGATATGTAATAGGTTTACTTTAGTGATGACTTTCAAAGATTTTCCTTTATCTTTGGTTTCGATCTCATCATATCTTTGGTTTCAAAGATTTGACACTGAAATACATAGATTTGATATTCTTTTCATTTATCCTGCTTGGGATTCATGCAGATTCTTGGATCTGTAAAAGTCTCTCTTTAATTTGGGAAATTGTTGGCCAATAGGTCTTCAAGTATTTGCCACATTCTACCCTCTTTTTGAGGCCCCAATTACATGGGCATTAGACTTCTTATATTGTTGCATGAATCACTAAAACCTCATTTTGTTCTTTTTTTTTGTCTTCTTCATATTCTAGAATTTCTGTTGATCCATTTGCTTTTCTGTTGACTATGGGTCATATTTTTCTTTTTGTTCCCATGTTGAGCATTTTGTAATTGTATATTAGACATGGTGGATGATCCATTACAATTTTGGATTCATTAATCGTGGTGCACTTGCTATATCTGAGTAGACACAATGTTGGGAATCTTCCTAGGGCAGTATTTGGACTCACCAAATTCATTCACTGTGACCGGTTCCTACCATACAAAGGACATTACAGATGAAGGTCACCAACTAGGTTATGCCATTTTCTTCTCTGTGGTTCCATGGTATTCTTGGATAGCATTAATCTTTATTGAAATGGGTTGCAAGTAAATTATTAGCCACTCAACAGCAAGGCTCAGGTCTTATTTCTGTATCCCTATTGCCTAACTCTGTGCCTGATACTCAGAGTGGACAGGCGTATTTGTTGATGTAACAAACAATCATTTAAAAATTCAGAAATCCTATGATGCTAACACAAAACTCAAAATCCTAGAATATGTGGGTCATCTAATTCAGAAGCAAATACTCTATTATAAGCTCTGTTCCTAGTGAAGACCTCAGTGAACCAGGATATAAATTTAAGTGCTTCATAGTAAACATTTAAAGAAATATATTCATGATCTTCAATAGGCTTTGTTTACAAAGGCAAAGAAAGAAATAGGATATTTCAGGAAGGGTCCATTGCTACTGATTGAAATGAAGCTTTAGCATTTAAACACAAGGTTTACTCCTCATATCTTATTCCCTGGTAAGAATAAGATGTGTATGTGCACATGGAACAAGAGCATGGCGTTCAGAATTAACAGATCTGTGAGGCTCACTTCTGTGTTAGTCCTCTCTCTAATGGTGTATGCGACTTCGGGAAATTCACTTCATCTACCCCCACTGTATTCATCTGAAAAACGGGGCAGTACTCTGTCCCTTACAGGGGTGCTGGGAAACTCAAATGAGGTCATGAATGGGAAAGACCTTTGTGAACTGTAAAGAACTACATAAATATTAGGGATAGTTATTACATAATACAAATAAGGCATTACTGCTTATCATGGCACTCATCACATCTAAAACTCCCAAATGTTCTGTCTGCCCGCAAAAACACACATGTGCATGCTCATACACACATGATCTCACATACACACTCACACGTAGACACACTTCAGCAAGGCTACAAAACTGATTTGGAACCTTGCACCTTTTAAATATGTCTTTGTACAAGTTAAAGTAAAGTGTGCCATATACTCCCTGGTCGCCTTTTGGCTTCATTTTCTCTCCTGCTGACCCCCACCCCCACCCCTCTCTCCTCCCTGAGACATTTGTACTCATTAAGAAAGTATTTGTTATACTTATTGTTGGGAGAGCTGCAACTATTTTCTCCTCTAATCCACCATGCATTTTAAGTAGGCAATCTGGAAGGATCTCAGGTGAAACTAGTTTTTCTCTAGAGAAGCTACGAAGTCAACACTGAAAATTTTATTTCTGAAATTTGAAGACCCATAATAGTTGGTTTCATTTTTTTTCTAAAAAGTTTAAAATACCGAACCATGAGAGACGATGGACTCTGAAAAACAAACTGAGGGTTCTAGAGGGGAGGGGGGTGGGAGGATGGGTTAGCCTGGTGATGGGTATTGAGGAGGGCACATTCTGCATGGAGCACTGGGTGTTATGCACAAACAATGAATCATGGAACACTACATCTAAAACTAATGATGTAACGTATGGGGATTAACATAAGAATAAAAAAAGTTAATTTAAAAAAAGAAGTTTAAAATACCTTAACTCCTGGTTTTATATGTCAAGCTATCACTTTTAACCATTAACCACTAACATGGTTATAGCTAAAACACACTAACCTAGTGCTAATCCAATTTCCGTCAAAAGGAGGATTTTTCTCTAGTCCAGTTTTAAGTGACTAACAAAATATATCAATGTCAAAAGTGAGTGAGAACTGCTTGTAGGCAATCCCACAATGGGGAAAAATAACTTCAAGTAGCTTTGCTCTTCTTTTCTCTGTTGGTTTACTTTAGGTGAGGGTAGTCTGTAAGGCAGACAGAGGGACTATGATAGACCTATCCAAAAAACCTGCAAATCCCCAGATAGGACCCTGTATTTAATAGGTGTTCACACAGTCATCTCTCCAAAGATATTATGAAGAACCTACTATTTTGCCAGGCTAATATCTCACCTGGCAGTGGGCATACAGAGATGAATAAAATACCTACTGTCTTGACACTTGCGGCTTTCACAGGCTGGATCTCTCTGCTCAGGCTCCTCCTCCCCTTCCCTTGACTGCCTCCTAGACTTCAGCTGACCCAATGCCACAAAAAGTTAAACATTTATGAATTCTATCCTGACCTTAATAGATCTGATCAGTTCTTTGTGTACAACACCCCTGACCCCAAACAAGAATCCTGGGCACGTGCTGAAAGTTCTTGCACTTTATGCTATTTTGTCTTCCCCCTGAACTGTGAGTAACATGAAACACAGTCCCTGCATTCCTCATGGTCATAAACCTGGAACTAGTCAATGGCTTGACACAGTGCTTGAAAAATATAGATTTAATAAGTTACGGGTATTTTTCTGATGAACAAAAAAACTACTGAAAGAATAGAGGTATTTCCAGCATGCAAGATAAAGGAGTAGAGAGATTGTGCAGAATGATGATAAAGATGATGAAGAGAGATGGCTGGCTAACATGGGGGCTAAGTGTTGCAATTTTAGGAGCCTGCAATAAAAGGAGTTGCTATTCTTGATTCCTCCTACTGGGAGGCCCTATGGCCACACAGGCTTACGCACCCTTGTACTGTTGGCAGCACATCCCTTGTAGGAGAGGCTTCCTCCCCCAAACCTGAAATCATGCAAAGTAGGAGGAGAGGACTGTTCACCTGTCCATGAGGTAAGAGGGGAGTGGCAGGACTGATGTTTAAAAACTTAGGGATTTGGGGGGAAGGGATGGGGGAGGCAGTAAAGACAACCACATGTGCCTTGTAATAGCCATCCACCACCCTCGTCCCTCAGCCTCCCAGCTAAGCAGCTCTGATCCCCTCCATTTCCCCAAGTTAATGAAAAAGTAGCAGCACCAACCATGGGCAAAAATGGACAGGGTCAAAGAGTGCTTCTTTGGGAGAGTTTAAGGAAATTGTGGAAGCAAATAATCTATAAAAGAGGGAAGTTGGATCTTGTCTCATTTCTGCCAGGATTTCAGGGAAGAAATGGTTATGCCAGAGAAAATTTTCCGTAAGAATATGAAGGAAAAGGCACATTCACCTTTGTACTCATGATGTAATAATTTCAGAAAGTTCAAAAGCCCTCTGAGGTCCATCCAAGCACTCCTTACAGGACTAGAACACTTCTAGAGGGAGAGCAGGTGCTGGTAATCAGCTGACATCAGCTATTACAGCACCTGTGACAGCCTGCTACAGGAGACACTGGGCAAAGACCCCCTCAGCCTTCAGCTGGTGACCTCCTCACAGAGGGATCTGTAGAGCAGAAGAAAATTACAACTCCCCTAGAAGAGGCTTCGGTGTCATTTCTGTGGTACAGAACAGAAAAACACAAGTGGAAACTAAGGGACAGGAGCTGACGTGGGGATGGAATAACTATGAGGAGCAGGACTGTATGAAAACATGTGTTTCCATGTCTGCCTTAGTATCTTCCAGCTCAGTCTCAGTAGAGAGAAATTCTGATGGGAAGGTCCATAAAAATATTCCAACAACTTCCTCATTAAGGGTGTACAAGAATGTAGCATGGTTAGGTTATTTTGATATAAACACATGAGAAGTATGACATTTTAACTGTTTACTGAGAGAAGGGAGTTTAATGGCATTGCTTCAGACTTTAGAATCAGTAGAGCCAATACCTGACTACTAACCTCAAATCCACTGCAGCTGCTACAGATCAATTAAACACCAAAAACTTCCAGAGGTTGGAAAACCATCTTTATGAAAAATGTATCTGGATAAAAGTACAGTGACGGAAATGCCACTGGTACATCCTCTCCCTGCCTAGCTTCCAGGGAACAAGGGTTTTTGCCTTGACTGCACAGAAGGAGGGATACACATAGAAATGAATACTATTGGAGGAGCTCACATGGCTGGGTAATAGAGGATTGAGGTTTGCTGAAGCTTTTCGTTTTTCAGTCAGCCAGAATTAAGGAAACGCTTTCTGAAATGATCGATACAGGACAAGTGATTTAACTCCTAAGGATGAAAGCCATCCTTGGGCTGTCTCTGCTGCTTGTTTTCCTAAGACTCCGTCCACATCTGCTCCAACAGCCTCCTGTTCACATCTCCTTACCAGACTAGGTCAAGGACTTGACTGAGAGGAGCCAGGTGAAGCGGGGGCAAGAGGTTCCCAAACCAAAATCCTGAGGCAAATAAACAAGTAGTCCTAATCTGGCTTGGAAGGATTCCCGTATCTAAGGAATAATATTCACTAGAGCATAAACCTGCTTTCTACCTTATCCCTAGCGCATGAAAAAGGGAAGTGTTTCTACTCTTCGACCTTACTCTCAAGAAGCACTGTATTTAATGAACTTGTGTATTGTGGCATGTCTGTGAGCACACACACATTACACTGGGCTAAAAGTCTCCTGACAAAGTGATTCAATCTGTTGAGTAATGGTTTTTGCCCACAGCTCTGCATAGGGCATCCTTGACCTCCTTGTTCCTCAGGCTGTAGACAACAGGGTTCAGTAAGGGAGTGATGATAGCATATGTCACTGAGAGAAGAAGGTCTTGTTCTATGGAGTTCTCAGACTTGGGCTTGAGGTAGGCAATGGAGGCACAGCTGTAGTGGACAATGACCACCGTGAGGTGGGAGGTGCAGGTGGTGAAGGCCTTCTTCCGGCCCTCAATGGAGGCAATCTTGAGAATGGTGGAGATGATGAAGACATAGGCAATGAAGATCAAGCCCACAGGGACCAGGATCACAAATGAACTGACACCATAATTGATCATCTCATTGATAGTGATATCAGTACAAGAGAGTTTCATGACTGGGTAAAGGTCACAGAAGAAGTGCTCCACCACTGTGCCACAGAAGGGCAAACTGAACATGGCTGCCACATGGAGAACTGCCATAACCAGGCCAGTGCCAAAGGACCCACATACCAACGTGGCACACACTCCTTTGCTCATGAGGGCTGTGTACCTCAGGGGGTTGCAGATGGCCACAAAGCAGTCATAGCCCATTGCTGTGAGCAAGAAGCAATTATTAGTGGCCAAGATGACAAAAAAGAACATCTGAGTTGCACAGCCTGCCAAGGAGATGGGCTGGTTATGGAAAAGGAGACCAGAAAGCATTTGTGGGACACTGACCAGTGTGTACACAGTCTCAGAACTAGCCAGCATGCCCAGGAAGAAGTACATGGGAGTGTGGAGATGATGGTCAACACAGATGATGGTCATGATGACATTACCAGTTAGAATTAAAATGTAGATGGTAAGGAAAACCACAAAGAGCATTATCTGGTGCTTTCCCAAGATAGAGAATCCCAGGAAGATGAATTCTGTCACTTCTGTGAAGTTCTTTCTCTGCATTCTGCTAGATCAGTGTCTGAAAGCAATAAAGGAAGTCATCAAGGAGAACATGCCCATCAGCAACTGGAGTGTATGAGAAGGGACAATGACAGCTGAAGTGAGAGAGTGAGCCCAAGTCCTTCCTTTAGGACCAGTGAGCCCAGGCTCGGGGTCCTTGCACGTGAAGAGAGAACTACCAATTCTTCCTTGGGGCTCACCCATGTGTACATTATCACCGTGGAGCAAACCATTTTCTGTGCATGGACAAGACTTCTGAATAAGTGCTTACCCCACCCGCATCACACTGATGTAAGGGGAAGCAAACCACGAGGAGGAAGTCCTGCTCTGTGTCCCCGCCGGTAATGACATCCAGCACTTAGAACAAACTCTGTTAACAAGGTGAAGTGCAGGTCAAGAAAACAACAGAGAGGAGTGTTTCAGTGGGAATGATATGGCAGAATGGAGGAGTCTAGAAAGAACAACTTTGAGAAGTGGTCACTGGATTTGGTGACAGTCACCAAGGCCTTTTATATGGTATTTCATTCAGTTGAGTTCTGAATCTAGAAACCTCATTTCAGAGAGCTAATATGGTCCAAACAGGTGATCAGACCCTCAAAGCAGACCTTCTGCCATGATCACTCCATTGTTTACTCAACTGTCACTGAAGAGATCTCTTTTGCCAACTCCAGTCATCCTTTTAAGAGGTGGAGTCAGGAAGAAAGAATTGTGATGAGAAGACATTGCTTTGCCTCCACTGCAACAGGAAGTGTTAGAGTAAGTCAAGGCATGGATAAGATAATGTAGGCACCAGAGTTGAGACAAGAGGAGGAAGGAGTTTTTTAAAATCTGGGTGCACACGGGATTTGATATAATATTGAGAAAAATTTCACTAGTCCCCTTTATCAAAAGAAACACCTATCCTATGCAGAGAGCATGCAGCTGATTCTGTGGGTCTCTACAGTGACCATTCCACTGTTCTCCCTCTTTTCATTTTCATACTTTACTGAAACAGACTTCCTCTCCCACGCTCCCCAATTCCCCGAAATTTGGCTTTATCATGTTCACTTTCATCAAACTGTTCTCTCAAATGTCACCAGAGTCTCCATGGCTAAAACTGTCAGACTGCTTTTTCCTCTTTTGACATTTCTAAACACTCTGCCTCCTGGAAACCTTCTGCGACCTTGACACTATGCTAGCTCTCTCTCTTCTCAGTGCTCAGGTGGTTATCATCCTCTATGAATCTGCTCACTTCATCCACATCGTAATTGTAAATGCTAGTCTATGCTTAATACGTGGCCCCTGCTTTTCTCTCCACACTGTCCTACAATGTTCTTCTATTATTTCCATGTTGATTGCTCCCAAATCTTTTTTTCCCCCCCCAAGTCTACAACCTTCCCTGGACTTTTCTACTTGTGGGTCTTGCAAACATAATTTTGTAATTTCAAAAGCAAATGAAACATCTACCCTTCTGATATTCAGAAAAAGCTCTCCATCTCTATTTTTCCAACTTCATTGTTGGAATGACCACACCATTATTCCAGTCTATTGGGATCAGCATTTTAGGTCCAGAGCTATTCACATTCGGTGAAATTCTTCCTTAAACAAGGTTTCAAGTCTGTCCAATTTCTCGATTCATAATGATTCAACATAAGATTAGGATGCCAAAATCCTCTAGCCAGGATAATAAAACATTCTTAACCCAAAATTATATGGAAATGCAAAGAACCAAGAATGCCAAAACAATTTCAAAGAAAGAACAAAGTAAAGGACTTGTACTACTTCATTTGGAGACTACAGTAATCAAGGTGGCATGGTATTCATATTAGACATAGCTCAATGGAACAAAAACAGTCCAAAAATGATCCACACATATATAGTCAATTGATTTTTTATAAAGTTCTAAGATATCTCAATGATAGTATTTTCAACAAATGTTGCTGCAACTGGGTATCTGTATGGGGAAAAAAAATAATCCCCAAACCTTACCTCATGCCATACACAGAAAATCATTCAAAATGAATCAAAGACCTACATATAAAAGCTGAAACTAAAAATTCTGGACAAAACTGATAAAGTCTTCACAACCCGGAAGGATCAAGAGTTCTTAGATACAAAACAAAAAGCATAAACCATAAGAAAAGTCATAAATTTAACTTCATCAAAACTAAAGCTTCTTTTCTTCAAAAGATATTGTTAGAAAAATGAGGAAAGCCACAGACTGGGAGAAAATATTCACAGTAGATATGTCTAAGCTTGTATTCAGACTATATACAGAATTCTTACAACTCAATACTAAGACTTTTTAAGTTGGAAAAATATTTGGACATTTCACAAGAGATATACAAATGGTTGAAAAGCACATGGAAGATGTTCAATATCATATCAGCCATCAGAGAAATGAACAATAAAACTATGAGATACCACTACACACCCACTCAACATGGCTAAAATTAAAAGCTTAACACCTAATATTGGCAAGGAAGTAAAGGAACTGGAACCCCTAAGCATTGGGGATGGTGATGCAGAATGGTATAACCAATTTGTACAACGGTTTGGCAAGTTTTTAGAAAGGTAAATATACACTAATCTCATGACTCAATTATTTTCCTAAGTATTTTACACAAGAATTAAAATGAGTACACACAATTGTCTACATCTGTGTACAGACATGTTCATGGAATGTCCTTAACAACTTCATTCCTAGAAGCCAAAAGCTTGGAATGGAAACTCAAATGTTTAGGGTAGATTGATATAATGAAATACTCAAGCAATAAAAGGAACAGATTACCAATGCAAAAAACATGGCTGAATCTTAACATACTGAATCACAGAACTCAGACAGAAAAGCATACATTCAGTACAATCCTATTTATATGAAACTCTAGAAAATGCTAATTTAATCTATAGAGCAAGAAAACAGATCAGCGGTTGCCAGAATTGTTAGGGAATTGACCGTGAAAGAACACAAGGGAACTTTTTGGAATAAAGGAAATGTTGATTATGGTGGTAGTTGTAAGATATATAAGTTCATCAAAACTCAACAAAATGTATACTTAAAATCGGTGCATTTTATTACATTATTTATATTGTGTAGCATGGTATTGTATCATATTAGGTAATATTGTAATGTTTTATACCTCAAAGTTCATTTTTAAAAAGATTCTCAGCCACAAATTAGACTTACTCTGCAAATCTGTCACTGCTAGACCCACAATTCTTCAGGGGCTCATTAGAATGTAAGAAACACGGGAATTGTCTGGGGCTTAGGACATCCAGGAACTGATCTGGAATCTTTCAATGTCAAAACATGTAGTTTTGGACAAATCACTTAAAATTATCTTTGGTATCAGCTCTGTGATAAGCAGCAGCCATCCAATAGTTTTTTTGTTTTGTTTTGTTTTGTTTTTTAAGTCAACACAATGAAGAAAACACTGAGACAATGAAAGACGAGAGAGACAGAAATGTATTTGCAGATCCTCCTCTTGGGAAAATAAAAACACCACAACAGGCTAACATAATGAAGAGCTAGTGTCACCAATGTTTTAGTCATGAAGATTATACTCCATATAAAAGAGAAAAAAGTTCAAAGTTGCAAAGAGAACTGCATTTGTAAAGAAAGAAACTACTATAGAATTTTATACTTACAACAAATCATCTATCTGTTATTTAAATCTCAGTGAACCCGTTAGGGAAAGGGAAAGAATTTTAGAACTGCAATTTAGGCCAATATCCTGAAAACTGGTACTACATATAAATTACTCTTGCAGAAAACAAAACCCTATGGTCTCTTCTCCAGAGACCCTGAAACAAATACTCTAAGATGCCAGGGATGGATAGAGTGACCTCTTTAAAAATCTGAAGGCAGCGGAAGAAAAACACTCGATCATAGGATGATAGGAAAGAATCTGCAAGGCTGAGCTTTTAAGACATGAGCCCAATTGGCCTATCTTTGTGGTTTCCCATCCCAGAACAACAGATCCCAGGCAAAGTGGGACTAGAGCCTGCTCTAGAAGGACATACAGGCATCCCCAACACCTCTCAAATCTAATCTGATAGCATCTCCAACAAAAAACAAAAAACCTGGTACCTTTTCAAGAATGTGCAATCTTACAATTACCTACATCTCTCCAGATAGGACTGTAGCTTAGAACAGGTAGCACATGACCTGCACACTGGACCCCTGGTTCTGAAGCTGTCTATAAGAGAGGGAATGCCTATAAACTCAGCCATCAAGAGAGGAATCTCCAAGGAAAAGCCTTGTTGACTAGCCCTGCTTTCCTGAATCTCTTCTCAGAACTTCCTAAGTATCTCAAGGGAATCAGTTAGACTCCAGACAGATATCAAGTGATCTTATCAAAAATGCAACATCTTCATTTTTCCAAGTGGTTGGTGCTTTGTAGTTTCTGGAGCATCTTCTCAAATGGTTTCCTTCCCTTATCCTTGACTTTATTGAGGGGATGTCACAGACAGGCATGTGTGGTGTAGGAACTGTCATCTTGAGAAGACAAGGGATTAGTCTGTGGAGCATTTCTAAGACAGAGGGTGCTTAAGTAAAACTCAGTACTCCCCAATGATGCTCATTTGTTAATAGAGTCCATTTCAGCAGGATAGATGATCTTAGTAAATAGTAGCCTGAGTATAGTAGTTGGATTCCTTGTGGGAGACTTTCCGATAGCTAGGTCATGTTCCTGGCAGCCAGAGTTCCCTATCTTTGCCCAGTGCCCACTCATCTCGACAGAAGCAAGCCCCTCTTCCCCCACCCCACCCCCTCTCTCTCAAGAATCTTCTGAGGCTGCTGCAAAAGTTTTAGTTTTTCCATTTGATCTATGCTTACTCCTGTCTTACCTGCATAGAAGTTATGGAACGGTAAGATTTTAGTGTACTTTTTACCTCCTCCTTTATACCATAAGACCATTCCAGCAGCCTAGGATTGTGCATTTAATACACACACACACACATCACATCAGGATCAGGTAGTCCTATCAACTACAGTGCTGGTTCCATCTACTGCAGTTAAATGT